GATGATGATGATGATGATGATGATGATGATGATGATGATGATGATGATGATGATGATGATGATGATGATGATGATGATGATGATGATGGAGGCGGGGATGATGGAAGGGGGGGGGGAGGAAGGACAGAGGAGGACGAGGTGGAGGAGGGACGATGACGAGGACGAGGACGAGGACGAGGACGAGGAGGAGGAGGAGGAGGAGGAGGAGGAGGAGGAGGAGGAGGAGGAGGAGGAGGAGGAGGAGGAGGAGGAGGAGGAGGAGGAGGAGGAGGAGGACGAGGAGGAGGAGGAAGAGAGCGCCATCGACAGGGAAGGTGGGGGCCACGAGGTCCGCCGGTTCGACGACGTCCGCGTCGCCCGCGCCCGCCCCCTCACTCTTATCCGCAATTGCGGGGTGCTATGTACTCTCTTGCTTGCGCACCGTCTGGTGCAAGGCGACCTGACTGACTGACTGACCTGAGATGTCGCGCGGGGTGGAGTTGTACGGGGATTCAGTTTTTGACCTCGCGTTTCCTTGTGGGGCTGCGAAGTGCGCAGTTGTTGCCACTTTCGTGGGCTCCGGGGATCCAGTTGGGACCTCGCTGCTCCTCGGGGGGCTGCGAAGTGTGAAACTGTCGCCACTTTCGTGGTATCCTGGGAGGTGCGGCGGCGTGGAGTTGTGCGAGCATCCAGTTGGAACCTCGCGGCTCCCTGGGGGGCTGCGAAGTGCGCAGTTGTCGCTACTTTCGTGGGCTCCTGGGAGGTGCGGCGGCGTGAAGTTGTACGGGGATCCAGTTGGGACCTCGTGGCTGTCGGGGTGCTGCGAAGTGCGCATTTGTCGCTACTTTCGTGGGCTCCTGGGAGGTCCCGCGGCGCGGAGTTATCATGTGATCCAGTTGGGACCTCGCGGCTCCCCGGGGGGCTGCGAAGTGTGCAATTGTCGCCACTTTCGTGGTATCCTGGGAGGTGCGGCGACGTGGAGTTGTGCGAGCATCCAGTTGGGACCTCGCTGCTCCTGGGGGGGCTGCGAAGTGCGCAGTTGTCGCTACTTTCGTGGGCTCCTGGGAAGTCCTGCGAAGTGGGGCTGTATGGGGGTCCTGTTAGGACCTCGCGGTTCTCTGGGGGGCTGCGAAGTGCGCAATCGTCGCCAGTTCCGTTGGCTCCTGGGAGATCCCGCGGCGTGGGGTTGTACGGGGATCCAGTTGGGACCTCTCGGCTGGGGGGCCGCGAAGTGTGCAATTGTCGCCACTTTCGTGGGCTCCTGGGGATGTCCCGCGGAGTGGGGCTGTACGGGGATCTCTCACGTGCCCCACGAGACCCCACCAGGCCCCCAAGAGGCCCCAAAAGGCCCCAAGAGGCGTCCCAGGCGCCCCCAAGAGGCTCCCAAGATGCTCCAAGAGGCTCTTAAAACGCCTCCAAGGGACCCCCAAGAGGCCCCCAAGGCCCCTTCAAGACGGGCCAGGAGGCATCCAAAAACCCCCGCGATGGCCCAAGAGGGATGCGAATCGCCGAAGAACCGCTCCAAAACGCTCAAGATGGCCCAAGACGTCTCAAGAGACCGGCCAAGGCGTCCCGAGAAGTCTCCAAGGGCATTTCCAAGAGCGCCCTCAAACGCCTAAACTGCCCCGTCCCTTCAGGAAAATACGCAGCTTGACACCCGAAGACAGCTCAGGAGAGCCCCGAGACGTCCCAAGAGTCGCCCAAGAGAGCCCGAGAGAGTCCAAAGTGGCCCAAGAGCGGGATTCCGAACCAACAATTCGAGCTTTCCACCCCACGATGCTCCCAGGAGCCCCTAAGAGACCCCAGGAGGCCACCCTAAGATGCCCCAGGAGGCTTGAACAACTGGTGCCTACAAGATTTGCAAATTGTCACGGAAGCGCTGAGAACCTTTATGCGACATCCTACAGATGTGGACGAGGGTTGAGGAAGCAGCAGAACGCGGAAGAAGGCAAGAACAAACAAGACGGACAGCGATAGCCACGAAAAGGTGAGTGAGGAACGCAAGGCAGGGGGAAAATAAGGAGTCAAGCATGTTCCAGTTTGCATTTCCCAGCTTCTCAAGCTACCTAGTATCAGAGCGCGCGCAAAGCGCGCGCGAATGTTACGAGTCGGTCTATGTAAGTCTGTATGTATGCACGTACGTTCGTACGTATGTATGTATGTAGGTAGGTAGCCAGGTATACAGTTTTGTAGGTATCTAGGTAGGTAGGTAGGTCGATCTGTAGGTAGGTAGGTAGGTGGGTAGGTATGTAGGCAGGTATGTATGCACGTATGCATGTTTCCATGTCTGTAGATATGATTGTATGTATGTGTGTATATGTATGGATGCATGCATGCATGTAGGTATGTATACATGTATGTATGCTTGCATGTGCGTATGTGTGTACGTATGCGTGTATGCTTAGATGTACGTATGCATGCATGTATGCATACACGCAGTTATGTATGTACGCATGCATGCATGTCTTTATGCATGTATGTGTATGCATGTATGTAGGTAGGTAGGTCGGTAGGTAGGTAGGTATGTATGCATGCATGCATGTATGCAGGTCTGTATGTATGTATGTCTGTATGCATGCATGCATGTATGTATGTACCTGTGTACATTCGTACGTACGTGCGTATGCATGTATGCATACATGCATGCATGCATGTATGTATGTATGCATATGTGTATGCATGTGTGTATGTATGTATGCATGCATGTATGTACATGTATGTATATGTATGTATGAATGCCTGTCTGCATGCATGCATGTATGTATGTGTGTATGTATATACACGTGCATGCATGCGTGCATACCTGTATGTATGTATATGTATATGTATATGTATATGTATGTGTATATGCATGTATGCTTGTATGTATGTATGTATATGTACATGTGCATGTATATGTATATGTGTATGTATATGTATGTGTATATGAATATGTATAGGAATATGTATATGTACATGCATCTGTATATGTATATGTATGTGTATATGTATACGTATATGTATATGTGCCCGTTATTGTACATGTATCGTATATGTATATGTATTGGTATATGTATTTGTATATATATATATGTATATGTATATGTATATGTATATGTATACGTATATGTATATGTATGTGTATATGACTATGTATATGTATATGTATATGTATATGTATATGTATATGCACTTGTATATGTATATTCATATATGTATATATGTATTTGCATATGTACAGGTATATGCATATGTATATGTACATGTGTATGTACATGCACATGTATATGCGTATGTATATGTTTATGTATATGTATATATGTATATGTATATGTATATGTAGATGTAGATGTATATGCATATGTATATGTATATGTATATGTATATGTATATGTACATGCACATGTACATGTACATGTACATGTACATGTATATATATTTATATATTTGTGTATATGTATATGTATGTGTATATGCATATGTATATGTATATGTACATGCATATGTATATGTAGATATATGTATATGTATATGTATACGTATATGTATATGTATATGTATATGTATACATATACGTATGTTTGTATATTTGTATGTATGTATGTGTGTATGATTGTTTGCATGTAGGTATTTATGTATGTATGTAAGCATGCATGCATGTATGCATTAATGTTTACATATAGTTATGCTAATCATCATTGTTGGTCTCATGGTGTTCCATCAGCTAGGCTCGCCCAGCGCACGCATCCCAGTACCAAGTGCACTGCCAGCAGCAGAGGCAACGCAGTACTGCAGGCACGCAGAGTGCGAACACAGCTGGGCCCCGACGGAGGGACGGGATAGGACGCGCGTGTGGCTTAATCTTCAGTTCGCCCCCGTCGTACCCACCGCGCCAGTGCGGGGTCAGAAGCCACCGCCCCTTCGAGAGTGAGGCCCCGCAGCAAGCCCCCTGGGGGAGCGACCGCTGCCCTGGCGGAGGCTGTGGAGGGCGCAGCCTGTCCCAGTGCTCGAGAAGGAGGTCGAGTGCAGAATTCACTTACCCCGACATTGAAAGGTTCGTCGAGTCCATAAATGATATGCAGAAGGCTCGCAGATCTGCGAGCATTATACGTATTTCTCGTAGATCCGACGAGCATCTCAGTTTAGGGGAGATCGATTCTGTACGGTCGGACCGAGGTATGAGATCGAGGTCGGTTCGGGGAAGGCACCCTGATATTCTTCGTGTCTGCTGGCCGCGCTTGTGCATCCTGGGGGAGGCTACCCTCGACTGCTCTTCAGTTTGGCTGGCGGGATGTTCTCCTCGATCGATCTCCTGGTCGATCGATCGATGTTCTATTAGGTCCAGCCGCAGTTGATCTCCTACTCGATCGATCTCCTACTCGATCGATCGATCGATCGAATCGACCGTTCGATCTCCTACTCGAAGTGCTGCGCGCCCGCACCGCCCCTGCCCGCCCCAGCCAGCCCCGCACTTCTCCTCCTCCTCCTCCTCATCCTCCTCCTCCACCTCTTTCTCCTCTTTCTCCTCCTCCTCCTCCTCCTCCTCCACCTCCTCCTCTTCCTCCTCCTCCTCCTCCTCCTCCTCCTCCTCCCTCCTCCTCCTCCTCCTCCTCCTCCTCCTCCTCCTCCTCCTCCTCCTCCTCCTCCTCCTCCTCCTCTTCCTGGGGTGCCCCCCCTTTTCGGGGGCTGCGGCTCGCCGCCCCGCGGGGCGGACCCTGCGGGCTTCCCGGGGGAGGCCCGGTCGCTCGAGGGCGACGGGACCGAGAGGACGGCAAACGATGGGACCGCAGGGCGGCAGGACGCCACCCAGAGATCCAACGTATTGAAGAATCGAGACGGAGGTTTCTCGTATTCTTCGTCCTCGAGGGGCCCTCGTCGGGCCCCTGGGCCGTGAAAAAAGGATCGCTATCTTTTGGGACGAGAAAGCGGTCCCGGGGAATGGGTCGAGACTTCTGGGGACCCCGTGTGGAAAAAATCACGACATCGGATCTCTGGGTTAGGGCGACCGGACAGGACGAGACGACGAGAGGATGAGAGGCCGGCAGGACGGCGGCGACGGCGGGGCTGCAGGGCCTTCCGGGGCGAGGAGGGTTGCGCGGCTTCCAGAGGGCGATCCTACCCTTTGCACCCAAGTGGGCCCGAGCGCAGGGAGCACCTCCGGCGCCCCCTCGGCGCCAGTCTTCACCGAGCGCGTTCCACCACTCGCAGTGAGCCTACTCGCAAACGTCCGAAAAACCACATGTTCGCTTCGGTGTGCTGGATCGTAAATCCTCCGCGGCGGATCCAGGACGTTTGCGAGAGGTTACTTTGCGAGTAATTAGTGGAGTCGGGGGTGGACAGAACCCCCACCCTGACACGTCGATTAGTGAATTGTTGACGCTTCGCGAATCCCCACCAGCCCATCCAGAAACGATGCCCAGAGGAATTGCCTCGATCAGGGAAGTGGGCAGCACACAGAGGAAGCCATCATGAGACATCTTGGGATATCTTGAGCCATCTTGGAGGTCATTTTGGGCTCTCCCAGGCGCTCGTGGAGTCATCTTAATCAGTGCCCCCCCCAAGAGGTCCACATGTGGCTAAAACCGTCGTATAATCAATGATGTGGCATTCTCGCCGAGGCCTTTTGGAGCATCTTGGGTGCCTCTGGGGGGTCTCTTGGGGCCTCTTGGGGGTCTCTTGGGAGCCTCTTGGGGGCATCCTGGGGGCCTCTTGGGGCTTCCTGGCCACCTCTTGGGGCCCTCTCGGGGCACCCTTGGGAGCCTTGGAGGCCATCTTGGGCCATCTTGGCTGAGATCGATCACAGGAGGGGGGGATACGCATTACAGTCGCCCTCCCAGGAGGCCAAAATGGGGCCCAAGCCCTAGTAAAATCAATGATTTTGGCTTCCTCGCCGAGGCCGTTTTGGACGCCCTGACACCTCGCGAGCCCCCCTGTCCAGGTCCATGGGGAGGGGGTAGGGGCAGGGGTAAACCCCTCCCCGAAGGGGAAGAAGGAGGGGTGGAAGAGGAAACTCTCTAAACCACCGACGCCCAGAGGGCTGGTGGGATTGTCCGTTTTCGCTTCTCGAGAGGGCGCCGCGGCCGTCATTTTCCAGGCTTGCGCACGCCTGGTTTGGGTCCGAGGTCGTTTTCACCAAACCACGTCTTGCTACAGGGGGTTCTGTCCACCCCCGGTGGAGCGTGCTTGTCCATTCCTTTCCCTCGCCGCGGCGCCGCCCGTGCGCCAATGAAGCTCCGCGTCCTCGGCATGCTGGCGGCGCTGCTGGGCCTGGCCGGGAGGGCGGCCGCCTCGCGCTGGCTGCGCTCGCACTCGGGCGCCAAGATGGCACACCAGCACGAGGCCCTGCTCTTCGCCCGAGCCTCTGCGCACGCCGGCTCTCGAAGAAGAAAAAACGCCATAAACATAACCTTCTGGCGCTCCGCGCGGGTTTCTTATCCGCGCCGGGCCCCCCCCTGGCGGCGCCTCTGGCGCCGCCCCTGGCGCGCTCCGCGCGCCAAGGAGGGGGTTCCTGCGCAGATCCAAGAAGTCCGCACGGAACGGCAAAAGTTTATGTTTATGGCGTTTTTTCTTTTTCTAGGCTCGGGCATGCTGGCGATGGAGGCCGCCCGCGTCGTGCACAAGACCGCGTACTGGGGCTCCATGTCCCTCGGCTCGCCGCCGCAGCACTTCAGCGTGATCTTCGACACTGGCAGCGGCAACCTGATAGTGCCGGACGCGTCCCGCGTTTAGTGGTTCCTGGAAACGGCGGGGATTTTTCCCCTGCCTTGCGGAGGGTTCCCGTTTGGGATTCCCCTGTGGTCGGCAACACCCCAACATACTTACACTATATGTGCGTCGCCCCCCCAGGGGCGACGCGCGCACCGAGAAATCTTATAGTATATGCGTCCTGGCGGGCGCTTTCTGGCCACACCGCTCGGGAAACGATATACTACAAGATGGGTATACTATATGTTCGGGTCGGACGCGCGCCTCCAAGGAGGACATATAGTATTAGTATGTCCATGTGCGTCCCATGTGGGGGGGGACCCCCCAGGATCTGGCCCCGGCCACGGGCGGACCGCCGGCGGAAGCCGGCGGACGTCTGGCCGGATCTCGGCAGAGGCGCTTTCGGGCGGCCCCTAGAGGACCAGGAGTCGCCGCCTGCTCGGTCCAGGCCGTCCAATGTGGCTACCAGACGGCCCAAGAAGCCCCGAAGTCTTCGAACGAAGCTTCCAAGAGGGCCTCCAAGAGGGCTCCGAGAGGCAAAGTTGATGGGTTTCCTGAAGGTTTCCGAGAGGGCGCCCGGACGGCTCAAGAGGCCCCCAAGACGGCCCAAGAGACTCCAGGAACACCCCAAGAATGGCCCCAGAGACGGAGCACGGACCGACATTTTGAGTTTTCTGCCCGCAGAGGCCCCAAGGAGGCCGCAGGAGGCTCCCAAGAGGCCCCCAAGAGGCCCCCAAGAGGCCCCAAGAAGCCCCCAAGAGGTCCCAAGGAAGGCTCGAGATGCCCCCACGAGGGCCCCAGGACTGCACACGAGGGCCTCAGGATGGCTGGAGACTCCACGACAAAGCGTCACAGCGTCAAACGAATGACATGGGAACCAACATAATGCAGTAGCACGCCGCTTCGGCCGGCTGTGGGGCCCAGGCGGCGAGCTGTCCTGTCGTCCTCTTCACCCGCCTCCATGCTCGAGGTCTTCATCGCCGTCCCTGCCGCCAGCCCACTCCCATCGCCCTTCCTCCCTCCGTCTCCCCTCCTTCCTCCTTCCTCCTTCCTCTTCGCTCCCGAGAGACTCCCACAGCGGCCCAGAAGCTTCCAAGAAGCCCCAAGAAGACGTCCCCGAAGTCACCCTTGCCGTCGTCGCTCTCTTGAAGGAAACTCCACTGTTCTTCTCCTTTGCCCATCCTTATGTCCCTCCCCCCCTCGTGTTTCTACCGTCCTCCATCGTCTCGCTTCCGAGCTGTCTCGGGCCTTCTCCTTCCACTGTGTCCTGCACCTCCTAAGGAAGCCCCAAACAGGCCTCCAGAGGGAAGTGAACAACACGGGAACCGCATTGGGCCGCCTTGCTTGCGTCCCCTTCCGTGCGTATTCTATTGAGTCTCGCAAGTCTTGCCCGCGTGCGCTCAGCGGTCGGGAGAATTCGTGACCGCCCAACACGCCCGTTGAAGGGTCCCAAGACGGCCCAACAGGACCGCAATTATCAAGAGCCCTTCAACTCCGCCCAAACACGGCCGACGAAACCCCCCTGACGGCCGTAAAAGGCCCCCAGAGTGCCCGAAGACACCCCTGAGCTTCCACCAGCACAGCCTCCGAAGGTGCCCGACTGCGGGAGAGAACCCAGAGACGGCCCAGCAGCTTTGAAGAGGCCCCGCGAACAACCCAGATGCCCCCAAGAGGCCCCGGAATGCACCAAAACGACTTCCCAGGGCGCCTGAGGGGACCTAGCGAAACTCTACAACGCGCATACTCTGCGCGTACCGAATGCACATCCCGCGAGGCGACTGGAACCCCAAAGGGTCCCCCATAGAGCACACGAACCTCCAAGACACTCCAGGAAAGCTCCCTGGAACAACATGAGACGAACACCATGATTAACCCGTATTCCTTCGTCGGAGCTTCCCCGTCGTCAAGTCAAGTCCCCAAGAGGCAGATCCTTCCTTGCTCCTGCCACTCTCACAAACCATCCCAACCTGCATTTCAAGGTCGGGGTTCGTGGCAACATCAGGCTTTACCGTTTCCAAGGTTTTATCGTTTCCAAGAAATTGGGATCTTGAGCGAAAGCGGTTAAAACAAACATGGTTCGCCGAAGCTGACAAACAACAGGCTCCAGGATCGAAATTGGAACCAGAACCGGAAAACAAACGGCGACGGAACCGGAAAACAAAAGCGCCAGTACCGGGAAACATCGGCGAAACGCACACGGAAAACACAATGGCTCTGTCGTATCCAAGAGCCACTGAGGTCCTGCAAGACGGCGGGCTGTGCCCCGCATAAGAAGTACAGCTCGCACGCCTCCACCTCCAGCATGGCTGTGACGAACGAGAAGAACGAGGGATCCTCGGAAATCACGTTCGGGACTGGGCAGATTGCGGGTGACTTCTACAAAGACAAGCTGTGCATTGGCGAGTCCCTGTGCATCGATGCCAAGTTCATCGCTGCAGACCAGATGTCGAATGAGCCGTTCCAGGAGATCCCCTTCGACGGCATTATGGGCCTGGGGTTCAAGGATCTGTCCATGGGCGAGGGCTTCAACATCGTCGATGACTTGAACGACAAGCATGTCGTGCCTGGCCCTGGTCCGAGATCAAGAACACTTGGGAACATAGTTTTCCAGGAACTCGACAGCCCAGCGGGCTTCGACTCTGGTTTTCGCAGAGTTCCAGCATATGTTGCTGAGTTTCCTGGCCTCGCATTCTCCAGGGAGTCCGGTGTCCTGGCGTTTCTGGCTCCGAGCAGGTGGAGGCAGCGTTTTCTCTTTCTACGTCACGGACGGCGACGACAGCGAGGTCACCTTCGGCGGCTACCGATCGGAGCGCCTCGCGTCGGACATCGTCTGGGCGCCAGTCCGGGTGCAGTCGTGGTGGCAGGTCGGCATTGACGACATCACGTTCAACAATCAGCCGAAGAATCTGTGCGACGGCGGCTGCCAGGTGGCCGTGGACACGGGCACGTCCATGCTCGCGGGTCCTTCGGATTTGGTGGACAAGCTCAGCACCATGGTCGGCGCCAAGGACGACTGCTCTAATTTCGACTCCCTGCCGAACTTGGGGTTCCAAATCGGCGAGGTTTCGGCGTCACCCCAACATACCTATACCATAGGTGCGTCGCCTCCTCAGGGGCGACGCGCGCACCGAGAAGTCTTATAGTATGTGCGTCGTGGCGGGCGCTTTCTGGTCACACCGCTCGGGAAAAGATATACTACAAGATAGGTATACTATATGGTCGGGTCGGACGCGCGCCTCCCAGGAGGACATAAAGTGCTAGTATGTCCCTGTGCGTCCCAAGGTTGTGCTCAACCTCCGCCCGGACGACTACATGGACCGCTCCGCGTCCGGCTGCTCCATCTCTCTCATGGGCCTGGACGTGCCCCCTCCGAAGGGCCCGGTGTTCATCTTCGGCGACCCGTTCCTGCGGCGCTTCGTCACGATCTATGACCGCTCGAAGCCCGCCGTCGGCTTTGCGGTGGCCAAGCGCGTGGGCGAGTCCACCTCGGGGCTCATCGCCCACGTCGGGGGCGGCAGCAGCCCCAAGGGCGCCGCTGCGGAGAACGCAAATCCTTTCGCAGTGGACCTCCACCTGAGCGCAGGGGACATGACCGGCGCTCCTGCCGCTGGCGACAGCGAGGGCGGCTCGTCGGAGCCCGCGTCAGCGGACGCGTCGGCAGCGGCAGACGTGGGAACGCTCGCACCTGTGACGCAGCCGACCGAGACGAGTGCCCCGACTGCACCGGCAAGCATGGACACCGGCAGCACGCCTCTCCCGGCCGCTGCGGCCGCCGACGGCAGTCCCAGCACCACCTTCAACTTCGTGGCAGACGATCCCAGCCTGGCGCTGCATTTTGACGCGAGCGACGGCACGACCACTGGCCCCTCCGCGCCCGACAGCGGCGTGGTCAGCACCACCGACAACGTGTTCGCCCACGATGACCCCCTCAAGGCCTGGATGGGCCTTGACGACAAGGTCCCCACGACGGCGACCTCCGCTCCCGCAGCCAGCAGCGGAGCCCACCAGGAGATGTCCGCGGTCAAGAGGGAGGAGGATGCCGTCATGGAGATGCGCAGGATGCTGCGCGACGGCTTCCTCATCCAGAAGGCCAGCCGCGAGTTTCGCCACCTGGTGTCGGTGAAGCTGTTCCGCAGCGACAGCCCATCGGCCGCGCTGCAGGTGAATCGTAGCCGCCCGTCGCACTGAACGGTGGAGGACTTCTGGTCTCCGCCGGCTCCTGGCGAGCGATGAACAGAGGGAGTAGTATTGAATGCAGCGCTCACCAAGTGATTCGCAGGAGTAGCATCCGCGCTTGAGGATGTTCAGCACCGCTCGCGTGACGCTACAGCACCTGGTTTCGGAGAAAGCTACTCGTGCTCAAGGTGACCCTCTCTGCTCTAAGCAGCGACTGATGCACGGTTATGCATCTTCGCTGTCCTGAAGGCCCGGGCACGTGCGAGCGAGCATCGGATCCTTGCCCAGTGCCGTGCCCGGTGGTGCTGGGTGGGCAGCCGCGAGTGGCGTCCGGGCAGCAGGGCCGTGCCGTGCCGTGCCCTGCTGGTGGCCAGGAGGATGGGGTCGGCAGCAGGGCCGCGCAGGTCGCCGCGAGGACAGGGTCGTCCGCCCGGTGCCGTGCCGTGGCCCTTCCCTGCGCGGCCACGGGGCAGAGTCGGGGGTCGGCTGCTCGGTGCCGGGCCGCGCGGTGGCATGCCGGGAAGCGCGGGTGGCCGTGTGGTTGGGGTCGGCTGCCTGGTGTCTTGACGTGCGGTGCCGTGCACGTCGCGGGGCCCAGCTGGGTTGCCTGGCGCCGTGCTGTCTGCCGCCGTGCGGTGCCGAGTGGGCGGCAAGGGATCGGAGTCGGATGTCTGATGCCCTGCTGTGCGGTTCCGCGCAGCGCTGCGCTCGAAGGGCATGGGATCCGACGCTGTGGTCGGGTACCGTTTGGCGCCGAACAGTGCTCGTGACATTAGGGCTGCTCAGGGTCTCTTGGCAAGGCCGTGCCATGTCTTTTTCGCCTTGTGGTTCGTCTTGAATCTCGCCCTACGTCGTGTCGTGTTTCTTGCACGGCGTCGGCCCCTGGAGCTCTCGACACATCCCCGGGACGCGCTTTCCGCCGAAGGTCGCTTCTCATGGTCCCCTGGGTGCGAAGGCGGCCCCTGCAGGCCGAAGCAGCAGACAGAGAGCCCACGCCTCCATGATTTCGCGACGCCGTGGGCCTGGTCTGGGAGAGGTCGGGGAAACGTAATAATGGAGTCAGCGAGAACTCGGGTTTACCGAAGTTTTTTGACGAGCGCAGCAGATCCCTGAAAGCTCGGCGGGGGCCGGCGGAGGCGTTTTTTTTTGCTGGTGCTGCCGTGCATCGGCTGCCCTTAAGTCGGGCGTGTTCTTTTCTACAGGAGGAATATTCGAAAATAGTATAAAATAGTATGGGGACGATTTGTCGATGATTTCCCAACCATCCTGTGTTGTTGGGTCCTCGTTTTGAAGAGACGGTCCCCGCGTTTCCTCCTTCCTTCCTCCTCGTCCCCCCCTCCACCACCCGCATGCGTCACCCACATCCATTTCGGCACACCACCGCCCGCATGCGTTACGCACACCAATTTCGGCACACCCCTCACACGTTTCGTGGCCCCATAGGGAGCTTGACCGAAGGCCCCAGTGCCACCGCCCACATGCGTCATGCACACCCATTTCGGCACACTCCTGACACATTTCGTGGCCCCATAGGGAGCTCCACCGAAGGCCCCAGTGCCACCGCCCGCATGCGTCACGCACACCCATTTCGGCACACCCCTCACACGTTGCGTGGTCCCATACGTAGGGAGCTCCACCGAAGGCCCCAGTGCCACCGCCCGAATGCGTCACGCACACCCATTTTGGCACACCCCTCACACGTTTCGTGGCCCAACAGGGAGCTCCACCGAAGGCCTTAGTGCCACCGCCCGCATGCGTGACGCACACCCATTTTGGCACACCCCTCACACGTTTCGAGGTCCCATACGTAGGGAGCTCCACCGAAGGCCCCAGTGCCACCGCCCGAATGCGTCACGCACACCCATTTCGGCACACCCCTGACTCGTTTCGTAGCCCAACAGGGAGCTCCACCGAAGGCCTTAGTGCCACCGCCCGCATGCGTGACGCACATTTTTTTCGGCACACCCCTCACACGTTTCGTGGCCCCATACGTAGGGCACTCGACCGAAGGCCCCAGTGCCACCGCCCGCATGCGTCACGCACACCCATTCCAGCACACCCCTCACACGTTTCGTGGCCGCACAGAAAGCTCCACCGAAGGCCCCAGTGCCACCGCCCGCATGCGTCACGCACACCCCTTTCGGCACACCCCTTAGACGTTTCGTGGCTTCACAGGGAGCTCCACTGAAGGTCACAGTGCCGCCGCCCGAATGCGTCACGCACGCCCATTTCGGCACACCCCTCACACGTTTCGTGTCCCCATGACGGAGTTCCACCGAAGGCCCCAGTGCCACCGCCCGCATGCGTCACGCACGCCCATTCTGGCATACCCCTCACAGGTTTCGTGGCCGCACAGGGTGCTCCACCGAAGGTGCCATTGGCTGCGTTCGCATGCGCCCACCGCACCCATTTCGGCACACCCCTGACACGTGTCGCGGCACCATATGGAGTTCCAGCGACGGGCCCATTGGCTGCGTTCGCATGCGCCCACCACACTTATTTCGGCACACCTCTCACGCGTTTCGTGGCCCCTATCGGAAATTCCACTGACGGCCCCAGTGGCTGCTTTGCATGCGCCGACGGGACAAATTTCGGCACACCCCTGGCACGTTTCGTGGCCCTATAGGGAGCTCCTTCGAATGCGGTGCCTACAACGACGGTGCTCACAACTGCAGATGGTTGGGTCCTTTGTCAAGTTTTTCCCAACCATCCTGTGGTGTTGGGCCCTCGTTTTGAAGCGACAGCGCCCCGCGTACTCACTCCTCCTCTCCTCCTCCCCCTCCTCCCTCCCACCATCATCATCGTCATCATCATCACCATCATCATCATCATCATCATCATCATCATCATCATCATCATCATCATCATCATCATTATCATCATCATCATCATCATCATCATCATCATCATCATCATCATCATTGTCACCGTGATCGCCGTCGTCCTCATCATCGTCATCACCATCATCATCGTCACTATCATTCTCATCACCATCATCATCGCCATCATCGAAACTGGGTGTAAACCGAAGGACCCAGTACCGCCGCCCGCATGCGTCCCGCACACCCAATTCGGCACACCCCTCACACGGTTCGTGGCCCCATAGGGAGCTCCACCGAAGGCCCCAGTGCCGTCGCCCGCATGCGTCCCGCACACCCGTTTCGGCACACCCTTGACACATTTCGTGGCCCCATAGGGAGCTCCACCAGTGCCGCCGCCCGCATGCGTCCCGCACACCCGATTCGGCCACCGAAGGCCCCAGTGCCGCCGCCCGCATGCGTCCCGCACATCCACTTTGGCACACCTCTCACACGTTTCGTGGCCCCGTAGGGAGCTGCACCGAAGGCCCCAGTGCCGCCGCCCGCATGTGTCCCGCACACCGAATTCGGCACACCCCTCACACGTTTCGTGGCCCAATAGGGAGCTGGTTCTCCCGACAGCTTCCCTAGGGCCGATTTCTTCGTCGTCGTCGTCCGTCGTCGTCGTCGTCCGTCGTCGTCGCCGTCGTCGCCGTCGCCCTCGTCGTCGTCGCCGTCGTCGCCGTCGCCGGCTCCGAGAGGAGAGGTTCCAGAACGGCCACATGGGCGGGTCCTGCTGGGGCACCGTGGCGCGGTGGATGAACATGCGAGCCCAGCGGGACGCGGACGTCCTGAAGAAGCCCCTTTTCCTCGTGCAGGCCGCCGACAGTTCCGCCCCGACGATGAACGTTGGGGACGCCGCCGAGATGATGAACTGTGCCAACCCAAAGAACACTGGTGGCATGCACGGAGTGCCCCCGGTGCACGTGGGCATGCGGATCCGGCTCCTGGAGGTGCTCGACCTCGAGAACGGGCCTCGTCAAGGACGCCGAGGGGCAGATCGTGCACGTCGTCGTGGACCCTCGAGATCGGGACGACGTCGAGAGAGCCGAGAGAGAGGGGGAGAAGAGGATCTATCTGAAGCGCTTGCCGCTGGGGTTTTGGGTGCGCGTAGAGAAGTACGCGAGCGCGCCCTTCGTGGACGACCTGAAGCGCCACGACGACAGCCTCGTGGGGGACCTCGCGGGCCCGCTGGTGTTCATCAAGCCCCCCACGTCGGAGCCGTTCACCTTCCGCGCCTCTGAGGTCACCCGGGCGGGCTTCCCGTTCTCGCGCGGCAGGGTGATCGCCGCGGTGGCGTGCCAGGTGCGCACCGTGGGAGAAGGCGACGGGGCGAGGGGAGGGCGCTCTGGGGGCGGCCAGACCTCCAGGGCGCGAGCAGTCCGCAGCCAGACCTCGGTCCTGTGGACTCGCCCTGGGCCGTCGGCTGCCCGGCGCACCGCTCCCTCGGCCGGCGTCGCCCGGGCGTGATCCTGGACTGCGGCCGCCACGAGGTCGGGAACGACAAGAAGGAGGGCGACGACTGGTGGCTGGAGCTCGACGCGCTGCTCTCGCGCGCCACGCGCGACGAGGGCCTCCAGCTCATGCGGGCGCCGCGCGTCGAGTCCTTCCTGGCCGGGCCGCCGGCGGGCTTGCGGAAGCAGCTGGGGCAGTTTGCGGCGCGCGCGAAGCGGCGCAGGAGGGGCGCCGCGGCCCTCGCCAGGGAGCTCGGTTCACCGAGTTTATCCGCGAGGCCTGACCTGCGGAGCGGCCCGCCCCAGCCGCGCCCTCTCTGGGCTGTCCGACCGCTTGACCTCGCGCCGCGGGCGAGCCGCGCGCGTCGCTGAGGCCCTCTCGGGGCGACCAGCGCGCGTCGCGGGAACTCCGCGCTGCGCTCTGCCCGGCGCCTCGCTCGCCCCTCGTCGCTCCGCCCAGCGGCCAGATCCGTGCGCGCTATCAGTTAGCCTGCAAGCGCTCTTTGCTCCGCGCAGCGGACGAACAGCGTGCGTCACTGCGACCCTTTCGTGGCGACCTGCGCGCGTCGCGGGGGCTCCGCGTGGCGCGGCGCCCGCAGCCTTGAACTTTGGCGTGCGCGGGCAAAGAGGAGGGGAGAGAAGGGAAGCAAGCTGGCGCGATCCTCGTGTGGGGCGCGCCGACATGGGCGTCGCGGCGCGCGGGCGCTGCCGTCGGGGTTCCCAGGGGAACTCCTTGCGGAGGCTACGCTCAGTGTCACGAGTTCTCAGAGCCAGGCATACCCGAACCATTCGCAGTCGTGTGCGTTAGGCGACTCCATGCTCGCAGTCATGCACATAGAATCAATCGCACGCGTGTTCGTTCAGAATCAGACTCACTCGCGC